TCCCTAGCCGGGGAGCCTAACGAGACCTATGTGAGCCAGTCTCCTGGTCGGGGTTTTCATACCCTCATGCCAGGTCTTAGTTTGACCGCCCTTGATTTTTTCCCAACCGCTACCCGACTCGGCAAACATCGCTCGCCGTGGCAACCTATCTGGTGACATGCGTAGCACATGTCCACTTGCTTGTCTCATTTTGAACGTTGGACAGAACATTTTAAGGCACGATTCAGTTGATCGCCGTCGACGCAAAACCCCCTCTCCTCTACCCGCTTCAACTGTGCAAATAGTTAATTGACACCAGTCCTCCATCTACAATGGAGGTTACCCGGGAAATAAGTTACCTCAAATGGCATACGTCTTCCGGCCCCGACAGGCTGTCCCCTTTGGTTTTTAAGAATGGAGGTCTAGCCTTGGGTTTGGAGTTAACAAAACTACTGGGCTCTGTGTGGCAGAGGGAAGAGGTTCCATCTGAATTCTGTGAATCGGTGATCATACCGATTTATAAGAAAGGCAACACATCTTCCTGTGAAAATCACGGAGAAATTGGTGTCGTCAACATCGTCTCTGAACTCCTCGCTGGTATCATATTCCGCCGATTGTCTGCCGCACGTGAATGATGTGCGCATGAGAACCAGGCTGGGTTTAGGCCTGGTCGAGGTTGTATCGACCACATTTTCACTCTTCGTCAAATTCTGGAGCATCGACATTCTTTTCGTAAACCCACCATCTCTGTCTTCCTAGGTCTGAAAGCGGCTTTCGACTCAGTCGACCGCTCTAAACTCTGGCGCTGCGTTTCTCTGAAGGGTGTGCCAGAGAAGTTTATCTCAATATTACAATCCCTCTACAATAATAGCCGAAGCCGAGTTCGAGCTTACGGCACTTTTTCATCCGATTTCACCTCGGAAAGTGGTGTTCATCAGGGTTGCTCTCTCTCTCTCTCCGTTTCTGTTCAACTTTGTTATAGATCTGATTATGGAAACAGCCCTATCCTCGTGCGAGGATAGTGGCATCGATTTACTCCCAGGAGGTAGACTGTTTGATTTAGAGTACGCAGACGACATTGTGCTACTAAGGGAAGATCCAGTAAGATCCAGGTAAGTTGCAAGCATTTCTGGATAAGTTGAATGCCAGTGTAGCCATATTCGGTATGCGTTGTACACCTTCAAAGTGTAAAATGTCACCACAAGACTGGGTTGGTCCAGCACCCAGCCTCACTCTTACTGGGGAAGTAATAGAGCAGGTGGATAAGTTTTGTTACTTGGGCAGCTACATCTCACCGGTGGACGCATCACAGATGAAGTGTCAGCTCGCATACAGAAGGCTCGGTTGGTATTTGCCAACTTGAGACATCTGTGGCGCCGTCGCGACATCCGGCTGTCTGTGAAGGGTCGAGTGTATGCCGCGACAGTTCGGCCAGTCCTGCTATGCGGTGCGGAGACAGTTAAGGGAACAGGGTAAAAATAGATCGTCGGTGTTCGAACGGCGCTGTCTACGACGCATTGCACGAATGTGGTTCTGGTAACCGGACCAGCAATGCTGAGGTTAGGGGCAGAGTTTCGGATATCCGCGTTTGCCCACTGTAGCAAGTGGTCGATCTCCATAGACTACGTTGGTTGGGGCATGTGTTACGCATGTCACCAAATAGGTTGCCACGGCGAGCGATGTTTGCCGAGACAGTTAGCGATTGGAAAAGGGTCACGGGTGGTCAAACGAAGACCTGGTATGAGGGTATGAAAACCCTAACCAGGAATCTGGGTCGCGTAGGCTCCGTTAGGCTCCCTGGCTGGGGATCTCGGGATGATCGTAACCGAAGGTTAGAGACACAGTGATATGGCTGGCTGTCGCAAACCGTGGCGCTTGTGCATGCACTCCTTATTCTCCTAACACCATTTTATATGAATTCTCCATCTTCCGCTTGGATTTGCTTTCAGCATTCCGATCTTCATCCTGCTGTTTTATCCAAATGGGCAGCCAAAAGACAGGAACCAAAACCGATAAACGGAAGTACATGTTTAATGTTTATAAAAGCTGAACGGAATGGATTTGCTGTTGGATTTTTCGTATACGGAATACCGGTGATCGCACCACGTGGGCTCCATGATGTTAGTATTGAATGAGCAGCTTGTGATAAGCTGTGCGACCTAGAGTACGCTGACGACCTCGTTTTCTTGTTTCGAATGTATGGTGGATGCACAAAACGCACTTGAAAAAACATGGCAGCTATCAATGAAATTCGCTTCACTGCATTACACTGTATGATGATGATAATTTCTATTAATTTATCATGGGACCTGCGACACCCATTTACAAGCGGAATTGTTATCAAGATGGAACTGGTTTTATATTGTTCCTCTGGTTTTCTTTTCATTAATTCATGTTGTATTTCTCTTTTGTCATTTTTTTGGGGGGTGGGTGGGTGTGTGGGGATCTGGGTTATTAAGTCAGCTGATTAATTGTCTGATTTTATTCACAAATCCCTTGATTAACGGACAAAAAGTTTAGCATAACAAAGCAAATCTTGGAAGTGCCTTTGTACCAGTTCCATAAACCCTTTGTTATATCTTGTTGTGTCCCGTGGTCGATCCCAACCACCGAAATCTCTATGCCTCTCATAATATTGTCATTCATTATGATTAAGCCCCTGCTATTTGTGAGAATTATCAAGAAAACTGCTCCTAAATAGTGCATTTTAATTTCCATACCGTTAAGCATTTGATGCGCTTTTTGTTATGCAATGCAGTAATTGTAAAAAGCTGAAAAACAAGGTCATCGAGACCTGGTACAGTTTAGTGGAAACCTGCAACTCAAAGCCCTTGGGACTTGAATTGGTGAACAACATGAGGTCCCAGTGGGATAGGCATACCTCGGAACCGGCCAACCTAGATGGTGCGTACCATCATAATTCTGTGACGGTAACAGAGTTCAAACCTCAAACGTTGAGGTCCGGAGCACGTTAGTGTCAGCTACTAGGAGGGCGCTTGACTATCATCATTCACGATAGATCAGCTCTCAAATCAGTCCACGACATAAGCATGAAATACTGAACCATGTGTAATGACGGGATAAAATGTGGTCAACTTCATGCATTTCAATCAAATTTAGTGTGGGATGACAGGAGTAAATTTTGCTCACCAGTGAGCAAACTCTCTGTTTACGAACATGAAACTCACAGCTCTTGTTTTCATGATTCACCAATGTTATCATTACGATCATTGTTGTTATTATCGTGATCAGTATAATATTATTATCGGTATTATTCCTATATTATCATGAATAATACCATTATTTCTCAGCCCCCTCAGCCATCCCCACCGCCTCCGCCAAAACCGGAGCCTCCAGTTCCGAAACCAACGGATGTTCCAAAGGACGCGAAATCGGAAGGTGTGATGGCCTTGAAAAAACGAAGTCAAGAGTACAAGGTATGTGCGTGTCTATTTCACAGTTTCCTTTCGGTTGTGAGAAATCAATTCCAAACGACTCATTTTCAGTTTTTACCACTATTAACCATGCGTCTTCGGCGGCGGTGTAACACGGACGGGGGGGGAAGCAGCTGTCCAATGAACTGCGAACACCTGACTGTCGGGAAGAGGCATCAGGTATTTTGTTCCCTACCTACATCTCGTGAAGCCTGTCACCGGCAAAACGTTCCTCTTCATGTTTATTTGCTGGATTGGATAGTCAACGGAAATTGAAGAGGGACTAATCCACAATTGTTGCCGAATCTCTGATGGAACATTTCGAGAAGTACAACATTCTTTCTTTCGAAGAAAGTGCTCGTGCAGCACAAAGCTGCTGCCTGCACGAGATGAGTAGACTAGATCAGTCCATGTAGGGAGGTAGTAGGCATAGTCTACTTAGACTTCTACAAAGATTTTGACAGGGTTAC